CTCTCTCCCTCTCTCTCTCCCTCTCCCTCTCTCTCTCTCTCCCCCCCTCTCTCTCTCCTCTCCTCCCCCAGCAGTGGTCGCAGATGATGCTCTCCTGAAGGTAATTCATTTCCTTATTAATCGATATTTTGGCCGGTGCACGCGCGTTTACAGCTGTGCAGGCGCGCGCACCACGTGCACTGCGCATGAACACGTTGTACCTTGGTGAAATCGTGCGGGAGCGCGCGTCGCTTCGTCAGTTGTGTCTGTGTTGAAAGTGAAGAGAATCAGTGTGGACAGGATTCATGAGGTAAATAAATCAATGTGATAAATTCAACGTTCACTGTGAAGATGCTTCAACTACAGATGTTTAGTCTGATATATTTAAATTAATTTATTCAGTCGTTAATACAACAAATACACTGGAGAGAAGTTTTCTTCAGGTTGTGCTGTAATGACACTAAACTTTATTCAACACAGTGACTCCACGATTTACAATTTAAACATGAAGCTAAACAAGTAGAATGTGTTTGAATGTGTATGAATGTATGAATGTGTGTATAAATATGTGTATAAATTTATGAATGTGTGAATGAATGTGTGTATGAATATGTATAAATATGTGTATGATATTATATTTTACCAGAAGAAAGAGAAACCAAAATGATTTCTTTGGTAGTTTTCAATATTTAGTCTCAGCGTGTTGGTCCCGTGATCATTTATCGTCAGTGATGACTTTACACTATAAACAGCCGTGACCCAAAGGGAACACGCGTGAACACAGGAGCGTGTTTTCCCATCATGCCTCAGTGGACCTTGTTTTCGATGGTGGCCCCTCTCTCGCCTCCTTCAGCAGGTTCTGCTGCTGCTGCTCTGTATTCAGGCCGCGGCTGCGCTCATGATGCAGAGCAGAGCTGATCCGTCCTTGAACCCTCATCCTCTGTGTTGTGTGTGTTTGTGTTGTGTGTGTTTGTGTGTCTTTGTGTTGCCGCTGGCGACGCCTCACAGCTGTTTGTTCCGTGTGCTGCTGCAGGAGCATTAATCCACAGCGTCAGGCTGAAGAGCAGGTTTATAATTCAAGGGGTTTGAGCACCAAAGAACAATGTCGTGACGATGACTTCCTGCTGTGTGTTTGTGTGGTTGATGCTGATTTACAGATCGTCCCAGGGGCCTCGGGCCCCGGGGCCCAGAGAGCAACTATCTGACTCATGCACGGTGCAGCTGCAGTTCCTCTAATCACCATTGGAGGGAGCGTTCAGTCAAAACTCAGACTGTGTTAATGAGCCGATAAAACTCCGACGTGACAAAATCCGGTTCTGTGGTTTCTCATCATTTAGAGTCAAATCATCTTTAAAATAACAGAAGATCAACAACTGGAGGACATTTAGAAAAGACAAAAGCAATTCAATTACTAACGTGAGAATTTAAAGATTGCACTGAACGAGATCAAATCAAGGTCAGTTTACGAACAAGTCAGATGTTCCAGAGATTAGACAGAGCCGCTGCGAAGACAAAGTTTGTTCTGATTGAATAAAAAAACTTTACCATCATAATTTGTTGTTTATTGACAAAACAGAACAGATGTGTTTTTTTTAAATTTAATTTAAATGTAATGAATTAATTCTCTCTGCAGATTTGTCAGAATTAAAAAAACGTCCCTCTGTGCAGGACTCATTTCACACTTTAACTCTTCCACTGGGAATTTGTTTTTAAAGTTTTAAATCGCTTCGCCGGCCGAAAACCGTTTGAGGCAAAGTTCGATTTAATCATCACTTTCTGTTCCTGTTACTGACGCCTTACTGATGATTTAAATTTAGATTACTGCACTAGCTTGAATTACCGGCTGCTCGGCCCCTTCGTGATTTCTGATTGTGCGGCTCCGTTTCCTCCGTTTCCTCCGTTTCCTCCGTTTCCCCCGTTTCCTCCGTATCTGTGAGATTCTCGGAGACGTGAACAGAGCGAGAGTCTTTTACTGGATCTCACACTGAGCAGGAATCCAGCCTTTAGCAGCAACGGCCAACCAGGGTCGTAAAGCAGTTTTAATATTCTACGGCAGCAACGTTTAAGTCAAACAATCGATAATTAAAGAAAAACGATCACATCAACTCTCAGAGTCTTGTAACCTTTGATTTTATATCTCAGAGGAATTCAATGTTTCCAGAAAGAGGAAACAAACATCTGCAGAAAAACGAAATAATCGTCTGGAGTTAAAGTCCATCATGTTTTTTAATGATCTCGTTTGATCGTGAAGAACCGATTCTTGATTCTTGAGCGTGTTTCCGTTGGAACTGTTCAAATTCTGCCTGCAGCCGCTTCGGTGTTAATATTTGTTCTCTCACCAGCGTTATTGTTCCGTCGCCACGTCACCGTCAGCTCTGATCAGATCAACTGTCCCGATGGTCACAACCTGCGTGTTGTTGTGCCGGAGACTCTCGGCTCAACGCTGCCTCTAGTGGATTTGTTTCTTAACCAGGCCAGCGGTTCTCCGACAGAACGCAGAGAGAACGATCTTCTCAAACAGCATCACGTGTTTTTATGATGCGACGTCGGAATCAGCAGAGCAACAGATGATCGTTACATAAAGACTCAGTGGTGCTCTGTTTGTTTTCTTTCATACATTTTCATGTTTTATCATTTTTATATATTTATCTCAGTCCTTCTTGTTTTACTCTCCTGTTCGTTCTAATCTCATCGTCCCCTTCCTGTTTCGCTCTGTGCCTCTTCTCTTCAGCCTATCAGCTCCCAGACGCCTACATTTCCCCCAAGGATCCATAAAGAGTCGTTCTGTCTGTCGATGTGAGAATGTTGTTACAGCTGAAGAAGAACCCGTGCGGACCATCTGCACGTGGTTCAACGTGTGAACGACGTGAGTTCTCGGTGTTTTCGTTCTGTGTTCCAACGCATGAACGTCGTATTTCACAGATCTGTAAATGTCACATTCAGGGATTGGAAGAGCGACTCTGATGGTTTGTGGTCGGAAGCGTCTCTGAGTTCTGTGCTGGTGAAGCGGCTCGACCCCCCCCCCCCCGCTGAGCTCCTGTGGATTTTGGACGTCCGGCAGTTTTGGCACCAGCCTCCAAAAAGAAAAAGAAAGGATCGAACCCTGTGTGAGGGCTGACGAGGATCCTCTCCTCAGGAAAACTCTGCGTGTTGAAATGTAGTCGCAGCAGCACAGCTGTTCTGCTGAGGCGCCTTCGAGCAAAGCATCAGATTTCTGCTTGTTGGATCTTTGAGCCTTTAGCTGAGATCTGGTGACCGTCACACCAGCAGGAGGAAAGTTGGATGAAACATGCGACCGCAGCCAGTGACTCACGGAGGCTCTGCTGGGAAGGTTCCGTCCTCGTGTTCATGCCAACGTGTGGATCCAGTTACATGTGTGTGTTGGATTCGTCATGTATGACATCCAGGCCCGATGGAAGTCACACACATGTTTTTTTTAATCCCAGTAAAATCCTCTCAGCTGTTACATCCAAACACACACACACACTAACACACACTAACACACACACACTAACACACTAACACACACACACACAC